GGAAGGTTGGGTTTTGTCCAGGTCTCTGCTGCTGGCTGCAGCCCAGACAGGCATGTTTTATGGTCAGAGCACTGGGAGAACAGACACCCCAAGAAGTAGGTCCGTGTGTGTGTGTGCGCGCGCGCGCGCGCATGTGTGTGTATGTGTGTGAGTTACAAAGGTTTTGAAGTTGGCCAAACCAGCAAGAATCAGCAGTTCCTGGAAACAGGAGACAGGCCTCTGAGGCTATGAGTGTGTGCAAATCTTGTGCATTTTTTAAATCCTCCCTCAAGGGTATTTTTTTCCATTGATTTATTTTAGGGAGAGTAGAGGGGAGAGAGGAGGGGGGGGAGAAACATTAATGTGAGAAAGACACACCAATGGGTTGCCTCCTGTTTGCACCCTAACCAGGGCTGGGGATTGAGCCTGCAACAGAGGTACGTGCCCTTGACCAGGAATCGAACCTGTAACCCTTGTATCCAAGAGCCGATGCCAGTGGTTGGCAAACTCATTGGTCAACAGAGCCAAATATCAACAGCACAACGATTGAAATTTCTTTTGAGAGCCAAATTTTTTAAACTTAAACTATATAGGTAGGTACATTGTTATTAACTTAATTAGGGTACTTCCAAGTCTTAGGAAGAGCCACACTCAAGGGGCCAAAGAGCCGCATGTGGCTCGCGAGCCGCAGTTTGCCGACCACAGCTCTAACCAATGAGCAAACCGGCCAGGGCTAGTGTGCATTTTAGGAAGAAAGAACAGGCACAGACCGCCTGGAATCGCAAGCCCTCACCTGTTGACTTCCCTTGGTCTCCCAGCTAGCTGTGTCCAGTGTCCGGCGCCCATGATCATCACAATGTAGTGAGTGAGCCTCCGGCAAGGTGCTGGGTGCAGGCAGGCGTGGTCCCTCCTCCCTGGGCTTACAAACCAGTGACCTGTGCTCCCGCGCTGTGTGTCGGAGGGTGCGTGACAGAGACCGGCGGTGGTGGCGGCAAATGTGGGGTTGGAGACTGTACGGTAAACGGGAACAGGGCCCCTCCCCGGCCCCGGCCCCCCTCCCCGCTGTGGGCAATAGAGAAGGCCCTCTGTAAGCCGACTGAGACCGTGGGAGCCTGGCCAGCCACTCGGTCTAAGAAGTGGAAACTGCTGCTGGGTGAGAGCCGGGCCGTGCACAGCTCGCATTCTGACCGCACACAGCTCGCGCACACCCTCCCCCATGCACACCCGCTTTTCTCCGTTTCCTGCGCTCTGTAAAACCTTGTGCTGGGGAAGTTGGCGGGGGGTGGGTGGTCGGGGGGAGCAAAACAGCAGCACCGGCCGGCTGCCCCCGGGGCATCTGCAGGCTGATGGGACTTAGTTGGGCGGCTTCACAGGTGGCAGCGGACGGACCGGCAGTAAATGTCACCAGTCGGCCACCACGGGTGAAATCCTAGTAAACCCACGTCTTTCACAGCCATTCCTCCGGCTAATTTCTCTGGGGTCCACAAACACCAGCGGAGGGTGTCTGGGCCCTCAGCCCTGTGCCTAACACCGACCCGGGGAGACGTCTCCCCCATTCATCCCGAGTGGAGCTACAGGAAGTGCTTGGCGGGCGGAGGCCTCGCTCTGAGGGTGTGTGAAACGGTCCTGCTGCGGAGGTGACGGGCAGGAGGGGCAGCAGTGGGAGCCGCGTGGGGTGCTTGGTCCCGCAGTCTGGGAGCCGGTACCGGGACGCCGTGGGCTTCTGCTTCTGAACAGAAAATAAAATCCCAATGAAGCCTCCTCATACGCCGTCTGAGGAGCCAGAGGCATCTGCGATGGAGGAGGAGCAGCATGGCCCTGTGTGCAGAGGGAGTAAAAGAAGCAGAAACCCCCACATCCCATGTGACGATTCTCAGCAGCCCAGCCCCCGCACGGAGATGTTCTTGTGGGTTCAGGTCTTCATGAAACAAGCCGCCCCGGCAGGGGACCAGCGGGGGCCCCGGGAAGACCATGGGCTTTGCGGCCCTGACTTCCACCCACTTACTGGCTGGTGACCTTCGGCAAGTTACTTAATGGACACGAGCCTCCGGCTCCTATGCTGCCCATCCTGGGTGTGTTAGGACTCCGTGGACCGATGTTTGCAATCGGGACCAGGTACCACGCCGCCCGTGGGTCCCATGCAAAGCACAGTGTGTCCCCAACCCAGTGGGAGCACCTCCCGACGCCTTGAGGACAGTCCCGCAGGCGAACGACTGTCCCAGGAGCACCGGCGCGCGGGGAAGGGGGGGAAGGGCGTCTGGCTGAGAGCAGCGGCTCTCGGAGACCGTGAGACTGAGACAGCACTGAGGCCACTGACGCGCGTCTCGCTAGAGGGATCATCTTTATTTGCGTGTCGTCGCCTTTCAATGAGGAGTGGCTCCCGTCGGCGCCCGGTAACCACGGGCCTCGCTAGCACACATGCAGGCAGCGACGCTTCCTCACAATGCAAGCAGCTTGGGGAGCTCGTGGCGGGAGCGGGTGTGAAACAGGAGTTTGGTTAAATGCAAGCAGGTTCCCGTGGAGAAAGAGAAAGAAACGTGGTACCGCCACCCCCTCCGAGGAGAACCGCGAGTGCGTGCATTATTTCGCTTGTTCTCACGCGGCTGTTCCCAGGGAGAAGCTGGCTCGCACCTTCCAAGTGCACCTGCGCTGTGCGCCTGAGTGCCTGCCAGCCCAGTGGGTGCGGGGGAGCAAGGGTCTAACGGGCTGGAGGGAGTTCCAGGGTCGGGCACCAGCCTGCTTTCCAGCGCTGGAGAGGCGCGTGACTGTGTGGGATGCGACAGCGAACGGGAGCCCCGAGGGGAAGGGCTCAGCCCACTGTGCCTGGGCGGCTGACCCCCTTCGGCCCCGCTCTCTCTCTGGGCTGGGCCGCCTCAGCCTTGCGGGTCGGGCGGGACCGTGGTGGCTGGGATGGGGTAGTCCAAGGCGCTGCAGTCATCGGACAGGAACACCAGGTCCTGAAAGAGACGCACCGGCAGGACTGTCACTGCGGGCGGCTGCCGGGCCCGGGCACGAACACAGACCCCTGGTTGCCCTCCAAGACTGTTCAGTAGCCCGGCCGGCGTGGCTCAGTGGTTGAGCATCAACCTATGAACCAGGAGGTTGCGATTTGATTCCCGGTCAGGGCACATGCCCAGGTTGTGGGCTGGATCCCCAGTGGGGCGTGCACAGGAGGCAGCTGAGCAATGATTCTCTCTCATCATTGATGTTTCTCTCTTTCTCTCCCTCCCCCTTCCTCTCTGAAATCAATGAATATATATATATATATTTTAAAAACACTGTTCAGTTGTTCCCTTTGGCTGAAAACTTCCCGTCTTACCCTCCCAGGGAGAGCCAGTCACATCTTCACGTTCCCATAGAATCTCAGATGTTCTTGATGATTTGTGGAATCCATGCATGCATGGGTTGACCAGATGGACAGATGGGGAGGGAGTGCATGATGGATGAACCTTAAGTGCTGAGCAGCAGCTGCGGGGACGCCATGGAAACCAGCCGGAGCTCACCTTCGAGTGCCATCGAGGCAGTAACACCACTACTCACTGTGCTATTTATGTCT